TAAAAATTATTTGTGCAAAAAGCCGATCGCTAAGTTACGCCCCCCAACAGATGGTGCGTCACAGTGTGCACATGAGCCTTCACGAGAGAGTGCCAGAATTCAAATAAATAATATTCCGCGTATCTTTGACTTTTTTTTAGTGGATGGTCTCATTCTGTTTGTGACACTGTATGTTACAAAACCATGTTGCTTTTTACTACCAAGATGCAGTTTTTTGAGCATAAGTTATTCCATAACGGACACAAACAATAACTGTCCCCGAAGTCTTTATAAGCTTTCCATTGAAAAACAGCGATCTATCGTCGATGCTTGAGGCTTAGATCTTTAGAATTATATATTGTTTGTCAAGATTAATTATGTCCCTTTTCATTTAATCTATTCATAAACATTGACACACGTGCAAACAAATAGCGTTCAGTGCGCTGGCATCCAGATGTGGGTTAAAAGGTTAAATGCACTGTGACCGATACTGGCCACCACAACTTCAGCTTTCCTGGAACAATGACATCACAAATAGGCACAATTTATAGCAGCATCATTCACCAGTTTCTGGACAGCTGTATACTGACAATACTTAAGCTGTTAATCATGTTTCCAGCGTAATATTTGATCGGAAGGGTAAAAATTATAGTTATTTTTGTCCGTCACGGCTCATTAGCTCTAGCATTCTGCCTGTTTTAAATCAGACACAGAGATGAAGTAATGCAATACGTTCACATTTACTTGAATGAATTATAGCATTTATTATAACATCTGTTTAATAATAGTGAAGTTTGTGAAAAATATGTAGCGATTCAGTATCAAAACTATTAATAAAAATAGCAGGGCAAGTTTCTGTTCCTTAAAGGGGTAATGAACTGCCTTTGTTTTTTTTATTTTGTACGAATTATAGTTATTTTTGTCCGTCACGGCTCATTAGCTCTAGCATTCTGCTTGTTTTAAATCAGACACAGAGATGAAGTAATGCAATACGTTCACATTTACTTGAATGAATTATAGCATTTATTATAACATCTGTTTAATAATAGTGAAGTTTGTGAAAAATATGTAGCGATTCAGTATCAAAACTATTAATAAAAATAGCAGGGCAAGTTTCTGTTCCTTAAAGGGGTAATGAACTGCCTTTGTTTTTTTTATTTTGTACTGTTCTGTGAGGTCCACTTATAATGTTATCAAGATTTTTACATAAAAAAAACAACAATTTAGAAGTAGTAGGCTATTTTCTATGCTGATTGTAACCCTCCTCATCAGAACGCTGTGTTTGGCGTGACGGATTGTAGACTTGGAAGTAAACGCCCACTGCTATGATTGGCTAACTTTGTGTATGTTTGACAACACACATTCCTCATAGATGGACGCTGCTGTGATTTAGGTCAAAAATGCATTAATAACTCAATACATATCAAGCGATCTGTAAGAAGAGACAAAGCAATAGTGATGATGTAATGAAAACAGTTACTCACATTTTGTGTTGTGACCTTACCATCGGATCCAATATAGTCGGCACAGCAGTGGCGTAGGCAGAATTTTATTTTTTGTGCGGGCCTGGGCAAAAGTGAGCGGGCACTAACGGATCGAGTCGTACTCAATATTCAGGTCATTTCAATCTTCTTTTCTTTGATCCTATTGAAAAAAATATACCGTAGAACACAGTGGAAGGCATAGTAAAACGATCACGTCTCCGTCACTGTTACGAATGTGCCGATTGTCGAACGAAGGATGTCAAAATAACCTAAAACTGAAGCTACAACCTGTCCACATACAAAACCTGAGTAGCAGTTGGAACGAAAATTAAATACGGCTTTATTTATTAAACAGAAGACATTTAAAATGTTATTTGTAGTCTATAATTTGAATTTTCATTTCATCATTCTACAGTAAATGTAGCCTATTCAAGGCATGGTAGGCCTTTCATCAGAGTGGGCAGGCCTATCCGCTGCCTACGCCCCTGCGGCACAGCATCGTCTTTTAGTTTCAATTTTTTTGAAAATCCTGCGTTTGAGTTCTGAAACTTACAGGATTTTTTTTTTCACACCTTCGAGCCAAGACAGATCACTGTATGAATCTTCAGAAACCCGCGATCACTCTGTCTCACTCTCACACACACTGCGGCATGTTGATGCCGGGTCGTTTAAAAACAATTACCAGAACACAAAAATCCCAAATCTGACATTTTCCTGAACAGGATCTGGCAGGATCAGGCTCAAATTAAGCACTTATTGAACAGGAAAATATAACAGGAGCAACTTGGCCTGAAACACCCGTTCTACATTAACCATTGATACATTCCCAAACTGAGTGGAACAAAGAATTCACGCCACTATTTCCCCATCAGAGTTTTTCAAGCTATGGAACAAACAATTCTGCACAAATACCACAGGTATTTCATTCATTTTTATATTTACATTTAGTCATTTAGCAGATGCTTTTATCCAAAGCAACTTAAAAATGAGGACCATAAAAGCAGTCAAAACTAACAAAAGAGCAACAATATATAAGTGCAAATAAGAAGTCTCTGTTAGCCTAACGCAGTACACGTAGCAAGGTGTATATATACATATATATATATATATATATATATACAGTGGGTTGTCATTTTATATGCGGGCCACATTTGCGGCATCATATAAGGGCTATTTTAAGCTCACAGCCACATTAGCCATTGCTTACCGTGCCATAACTTTGCCAAAACTGGCCCAGATATGGTTTAGGATAACTGGGCCACATTTGTGGCATCATATGTGGGCCACTTTAGGCTCACAGCCACATTAACCAGTGCTTACCGCGCCATATATTTGCCAAAACTGGCCAAGATACAGTTTAGGATAACTGGGCCACATTTGTGGCATCATATAAGGGCCACTTTAGGCTCACAGCCACATTAGCCAGTGTTTACCGTGCCATATATTTGCCAAAACTGGCCCAGATACGGTTTAGGATAACTGGGCCACATTTGTGGCATCATATAAGGGCCACTTTAGGCTCACAGCCACATTAGCCAGTGTTTACCGTGCCATATATTTGCCAAAACTGGCCCAGATACGGTTTAGGATAACTGGGCCACATTTGTGGCATCATGTAAGAGCCACTTTAGGCTCACAGCCACATTAGCCAGTGTTTACCGTGCCATATATTTGCCAAGTGATTTCTTGACTCAACAGGTCTGGCAGTAATGAGGCTTGGGTGTGGCTAGAGAAATTTAACTCAGCTTTCTAAAATAATGTGGTTAATCACAGTTCTATGGCGGCAATCCTATGCCATTAATAACCGAGCGGCGAGCGCACCACTGATGCTGGGATGATGTCCTCTGCATGATCATTCCCCACATCCTCGTGCTCGATCTTTCCTCACCTGCTCGCGCGAACACTTTTATTTTTGTCAGTCGTGGGGCGGGGCTTGCTGTTTTAATTGTAACCTCAAATGTCATTGGTTATTCCTCTTT